CCCCCTCCCCTTGTAGGTATATTCTGGTAAAATTCAGCTTAACATCTTATACACTGCATCTTATTTCTACCTAAAGAAAATATATATATATTTTCGGATCACCAATTTCAAAGGCACTTAGCAGCCGATATAAACCTGTGCAAGCAAAGAACATCAAATTACATTCAGAGCATTATACTCCTGTCAGGTTTTCTTATTATGTTGATGCTTTAACTTGAATTAAAATGTTTACATAGTCTGTGTGTAGGTACAGTATAGTCATTCATGCCTGCAGGGAAAACACTTTGACACCATGGTAAAAACAAGTAAGCTGCTGTAATAAAAGACAATCATAATAAGTGTTTACATGGAATATTAAGGCCAAAATGGAATTGAACTCGCATTGATTTCTATGTTTATGAGAGAATATTACCACGGCACATTTGTGAAGGATGTTGAAGGAGTAACTGTCTGCCGGACATGGATCTGTGGTGTCAGAGGCAGTGTGATACAAGCTGTTTTGTTGGGAAGATCAGGGAACAAAGCTGACAGTCTTTGATCAGCTGAGCTGTGCGGCAGACCACAGAGACAATGAAGCCAGAGAAGGGGAGGCCAGTCTGTTTGAAGTGAGAGCGCTTGATAGGATCGCTGCCTTGAAAGTGGGAGCTTTTCCTTCAGTCATGTGCCCGCCTGCGCGGAAGAAGATGCTTATCTCTGGCCTGCCAGTGTGGCTGTTAGTGGGTGCCAAGAACATGGAGCGCGCTTCACTGGATTGGGGGTGGTGGGGAGGGAGGGGTTACAAGCGGCAGACCACAGAGACACTGAAGCCAGAGAAGGGGAGACCAGTCTGTGTGAAGTGAGAGCGCTTGATAGGATATAGTGTTCCTACACGGACCCTCACTATTGTGGTAAGCGTGTTGTCACTTCCGGTTGTTGTTGTCACCTCCGGGCTATCCTGTGCGTCTGTTCTGCTGCTGATAGCTTATATTATCTTAATCAATCGTTTTACAATTCTTGATCATGGCAGCTACCTGAAGTTGTAATCACACGTTACTACAGCTTAATCACTCACAACTCTCCTTCTCTTAGCGACTGTAACTTCACAGTTGCTTACACTCCTTTCGGGTTTGCTAACGGTAGCTACTTTAGCTTGATAGCTAGCAATGTCTCTTTCCCGACCCTCGGGTGCTATTTCCTGCCCTATCTTTCTCATGTTTGGTTACTTCCCTACCTCCTTTACTGGTACCGATAGGCCTACATGTGTTAAATGTAGTACAGTTGCTAGGTTGGAGGCGGGAAACATAGCCATAGAAGCCCGGCTCCGCATTTTAGAAAGTAACTCAGCTACATTAAAACCCATGTTAGCCGGTATAGATCGGCAAGAGGTAGCTTGTACTAGCCGTCCCCCGGCAACTCCCGAGCAGCTAGGAGACTGGCTGACTGCTCAGAAGGGGCATAAAGCGAGACTCGCAGGTCCCCACCAACCCGTTCACGTATCTAACAGATATTCCCCACTCAGCGAGACAGCCGCTGAGAAGCCAATTCTGGTTATTGGTAGCTCTATGAGACACGTACATTTATTGACCAAAGCCTTCACAGTCACATGCATTCCGGGGGCCAGAGCGGGCGACGTTAAGGCGCATCTTAAACTGCTGGCTAAGAATACACATAAATACAGTAAGATTGTTATTCACGTTGGTGGTAATGATGTTCGTTTACGCCAATCAGAATGCACCAAAGTTAATGTGGCGTCGGTGTGTAGATATGCTAAAACAATATCAGACAGCGTAATTTTCTCTGGTCCCCTCCCCAATCTGATCAATGATGACATGTATAGCCGCATGTCATCGTTTCAGCGCTGGTTGTCTCGGTGGTGCCCAGCAAACAATGTGGGCTTCGTAAATAATTGGACAGCCTTCCGGGGAAAACCTGGTCTGATTAAGAGAGACGGCATTCATCCTACTTTGGAAGGTGCAGATCTCATTTCAGCAAACATTTCAGAGCTTTGTGAACATAATCCATGACAAAGTGGAGTTCAGGCCAGGAGGAGGAGTCGCAGTTTTATATGTTTCTCTGCGCTCTCTCCAATAAAATAGCCAATATTAACGGTGTGTGTGTCTGCCCAAGGACAATTCAAAGTAAAACCTAATAGAGGTGTCACACATAATAACTTAAAAGTAAATGTAACAACTACTACAGTGCAACAAAACAGGAAGATTAAATGTGGACTCTTAAACATAAGATCTTTAGCATCCAAAGCAATATTGATAAATGATTTAATATCAGATTATAATATTGATATGCTGTCTCACTGAAACTTGGTTGAGACAGGAAGAATATGTCAGCATAAATGAGGCCGGCCACTCCACCCAGCCATATCAATACTCATATTGCCCGAGGCACAGGCCGAGGAGGTGGAGTTGCAGCCATCTTTGACTCAAATTTACTTATCAATACTAAACCAAAATTAAATTATACCTCCTTTGAAAGTCTCGTTTTTAGTCTTACGCATCCGACCTGGAAAACTGTGCAGCCAATCTTATTTGTTACAGTGTACCGTGCACCAGGTCCTTATTCAGAATTCTTATCAGAATTCTCTGAGTTTTTATCAACTTTGGTACTTAAAACAGATAAAGTAATTATCGTAGGTGACTTTAATATTCATGTTGACGATGATAAAAATAACCTTACTGTTGCATTTAACTCTATATTAGATTCTGTTGGTTTCTGTCAGAGTGTAAATAAACCAACCCACTGCTATAATCACACTCTCGACCTTGTTCTGACTTATGGTATTGAAATTGAGCAACCATTAGTCGAACCGCATAATCCTGCTTTATCCGACCATTTTTTGGTAACTTTTGAAGTACTGTTACTAGACTACAAAGCATTAGCCAAAAGCTCCTGCAGCAGAAACCTATCTGTTAGTGCTATAGCCAAATTTAAGGAAGAGATTCCACCAATACTTAACTTGATAGCATGTCTGCATGTAGGGGAGGACACTTATACAAAATGTACACCACCCCAAATTGATCATGTTGTTGATAGTGCTACAGATGCGCTGCGGAATAAATTAGACTCTGTTGCTCCTTTCTGAAAAAGCGCGAAAAATAAAACAACATAGAATTAGCTCCATGGCATAATGCCGAAACCCGCAAAAACTAAAGCAAAAGTCGAGACACAACCTTGAAAGGATATCGTGGGGGTCCACCTAAACTTGAAGAATCTCGTTTAAGTTTGGCATATTCTCTCAATGAATATACAGAAAGCACTGCGTAAAGCGAGGGCAGCCTACTATCTTCATTAAGAGAGGAGAAAGAATAATGCAAGAATTTATTTTCAGCACTTTAGCCCAGGCTGACAGAGAGCGCACAGCTCGATTAGGCCTTCCTATTCCCTAGCACTCAGTAGCAATGATCTTTATGTGTTTTGTTAACGATAAAATCTGTTACTCTTAGAAACAAAATTAATGACCGCTCTTGCCTTTGACCAGTATAGTGTATCAACAGCTCCCGCGGAAACCTCTAAGTTCCCATATTACACTAGATACGCTAAACTAGAATGCTTTTCAGCCGAGCGAAACCGTTGAACAATTAAATTCAATGAGAGTCCTTTCTTCTAAACCCATCAACGTGTATGCTAGACCGATCCAACTAAGCGTGCTAAATAGCAAGTTTCTTAGCACCCTCTTTATTAAATATTATGATATGTCTTATTACACGCCTTGTCTACAATCAGTAAAAGTTGCAGTAATAAGAACCTCTTCTTAAAAAGCACAACCTCGATCCAGAGGTTTTAGCATATTCTATAAGACCTATTTCTAATCCTTCCGCGTTCCTCTCACAAAAATTCTTGAGAACAGGCAGTCGCAAAATCAGTTGTTCTGAGTACTCTAAAAAACAATTATTTATTTGAAGATTTTCCAGCTGGCTTTAGAACACATCATAGCACCAAGACCCGCTCTGGTAAAAGTCACAAATGGACCTCTTCTAATAGCCTCTGACAAGGCTCTCCTATCTCTTCGTTTTGCTCGATCTCAGTGCTCTGCATTGAACTATGCGACCATGATCTACTGTTATTACAGACTAGAGGACTTGGCCTCCGAACGCTTAGCCCTGGTCTTACGGTCCTATCTGAACGCTCTCAGTTTGTTAGCGTGTCAACTGATGAATCTTCCATGCAAAGCCAAAGTTAGCCATGGAGTGCCACAGGGCTCAGTGCTTGGACCTACTTTTGTTCTACAGCTATTATACCGGGCTTCACCGCTAGCAAATATTATAAGGAATCACATCTCTGTACATCCCACTGTTATGCGGATGATACTCAACGTATATTTCAGTTACTCCATCAAAGCTGATGAAAACAATCACCAAATATAAGCATTTAAGAGCTGCCTCAAGGACTCTTAACAAACGTGATCTGCCCTTAACACTTTTTGATGTTAAACACGACAAAACTGAAGTTATTTGTAACCGTCCCAATAACCTCTACGAACACGCAAACTTCTAAAGATATACCTGAGTTATGGATGGGCTAAAATAATTTGGGCCTCGAGTGAGACTGTCAGGAAATCTTGATGTTATATTGACAGGATTTATCCGCTTTAACCACATAAAATCATCTCATTGACCGCCTAACTTCCATCTATGGCAAACATTGCCAAAATTAGGCCATATCTTGCTCAAAACAAATGGCACGCGCAAACAGTCATGGCATTGTTACTTCTAGGGCTGGATTATTGTAAGCTCTTTATTATCAGGGTGTACGCACACCGAGTCAGTCAAGTCCTTCAGCTGATTCAAAATGCTGGCAGCTCGTGTAC